TATGAAGTGAACCTCAGTGGTAAATAAGTGCCAGAGAACCAAGATGGGCGCGTTGTGGTATGAGGATGTGCTTGATATCTGCCAGCGTGCAGCCCAAACCACCCCAAGTGTGAATACAAACAGCCTTCTTCACCTGCAGCAGCAGCTTATTAGTAGTGATATATCAGTGTCCTGGCGCTGGTTTTTCTCCTGTCAACAGCAGCTGCTTATCAAGCAGATATTGCACTGTAGTTCTGGGGAAATAGTCTAAAATTGATGTTCGGAAGCCGTTGCTGATCTTACAAGGAGCTGCTGTAAGTGGGCATCTGTTGCGCTGAGTGTAGGTGTGGGGCGGAAAAGGGTTAGGTTCAGTCTTATTTATAAGACTGAAAAGCATAAGTTCTGGAAGGGTTTTAAATCTTGGTGCCCAGGGAGTGAGATGCTGGTCATCCCTGGTGGTACCTTCTTTTCTCTAGCCAGACACTTCGCACAATGATTTAAACCCCTGTGGCATCTCCAATAGTAAATAGTCCCATCTCTGATAGTAAATATAAGGAAAAACAGATCAATGCTTAAAAGGCGGAAAAAAATACCTGTATACACTTTTGTCTTTCATCTAGTAATTTTGGATCTGAACTGTCAGGAATTTGTATGTTAAATCTAAGATTAAAGACCGAGTCTTTTTTAAAGCAGAATGTTTTTTAGGTGTTTGAACCTTCTGAATAATGGAAATAAAAGGTCAGGTTCTTAGCTGGCGTGAGAAGATTCAGCTTCAGGGTTTTGAAAGATGCAGTGCACCTTTGCACCTGAAAAAAGTTTTGGGCCTAGCCAAATCCCTTGTGAAAAAGGAAGGAGGAGGAAAGGCTGAGCCAGAAGCTGCTCCTGGGCTTGTCGATTGGATCCCCTTTACCATCTCTGCAACGAGCCGCAGTAGAGAATGCTCGCAAAGAATGTCCTAAAGTACCACTTACGCGCCGCTTTCACGGCGAAGACTCAGCAGAGTCGTTGTGCTGTCAAGCCCTGATGATTAAATTACTTTTTCCATCCCATCTTCCTCGCGTTTGGCTTATTAACTTGACATTTCATCTCAATTATTTGCTCTTCTTCACGCCCTCCTGGTGTCGCTTGTCATTCACTCCTTATTCGGGCAAGTCTGGCTGGCTGGAGGAATGCGTGCACCGGGGCAGGCGTGTTTGCTGGGGTTGTTGTATGCTTAGGTAACCCTTTAGGTACCTCCACGTGTGCTGATCTGACCCTTGCTTGGTGTGCAAGAAGGTTGTTCCTCTTAAATTTTTGTCAATGGGGCAGTAAACATTCCTGGGAGGTTTTCCTTTTGACTTCACCTGGGATTGAGCATCTCCAAGGCTTCTCCAAAGGTTGCAACTCTCTATGCAAACTCCTGCTGATGTGCAAGCATGAGCTACTCGTTGGGATTTTCTCATGCTCTTCCAAGAAGGGTAAGGAGCCCTGTCCCCCATGCCCAGCGTGGGTGAGGGTCCCAGGGCATGGCTGCAGAGCTTTGCTTTCTCATCCTCTGCTTCCATCTGGGTCTTCTGCTCAATAACACATCAAAACTACTCGGTCATAGCAAAAACTCAAGTGTCTGTTGGAAGTAATGAAGAAAAATCACAGTCGGGTAGCGGCATGCTTCCCACTGCGGTCGGGGATGAGGAATTGGCACGAGCGGTGTTTTAAATAACCAAATGTGTCAGAAGGGCACAAGTAAATGATGAAAAGCAAAAAAAAAACCCGGGGCTCCGCTAAACTTTATGGTTGCCATGCTTCATCTTAATTTTAGCGAAGGTGTTTGTTTGGAGGTGAGTAATGAACGCTCCTGGAGCCTGGGAACAGCAGTGAACAGCGGAGATGAAGTACCCTGCCCCGTAATGCATGGGTCTGCTCTTTTTTTTGTTTTTTTTAAACAAAAAATGATTTTTTTTCCCTCCTGCTGAAGATGAGTATGGCCTGAAGACCCAAAACAACTTTGCAAAGCTGGTTTGCAAAGAACACTTCCCAGCACATGCATCAAACATTTGCTCATCTCTCTGTGTGCTGCGGTAATGAAACTTGTGATACTTAGCTTGAAACACCGCATAAACTCCTCGCTTTAATCCCAGTTTAAATACAATTTGTAAAGTGCTTGTAAAAATCTGCGAGATCTCCTAAGCCACTCCTTGTTTTCAGGAAAGCATGTTAAAGTCTTTTGTGTGCGTTTGAAAACGTAATCTCCTCCTGAAGCTGTTTTCATGGTAGCACCATTATCCAGAAATATTATCGTGGGGTTACACACACGGACAGCAGGATCGTTCTGTGCGGTGCCGGCCAGTGGGTTTGTGCGAGTCTGTGCTCTTGTGCCAAACGATTTCCCCGTTTTTATGGGTTTAATATAAGTTGCAGACCCGTGCAAATCTTATCTGCCAAATCTTATCTACCCAAATCTTATCTGCCACAAATTTTGGATGGCACACGGCAGTACATGAGGAATGGGGGAAATCTTTTGAGCATTTGGAAATGAGGGAGAAATTTGGATAGGTTGGGAAAAAAAAAATGCTCCCACATGTTCAGTGCCCCTAAATGTCGTGGTTTAATCTCAGTCGGCAACTAAGCACCACGCAGC